GGGGCCAAGCTGGGAGGAGAGAGACTAGTGGACTAGCCGGTAAACTACCCGATAAGTATTTGCTTATCTGATAGTCAAGAAGTCGTTCACATCCCTAAACTGTGTACACATTTATACTTCACATCCCTAATAGATATTTGTTTAGTTTTTCAACAGGCTGCATAAAACACAGTGACGGTCAGTACAAACTACTAAAGTTTCATACAATGTCTTATTTATTCTGTTCTCTATATCAGTGGGTAAACTACCCGATAAGTATTTGCTTATCTGATAGTCAAGAAGTCGTTCACATCCCTAAACTGTGTACACATTTATACTTCACATCCCTAATAGATATTTGTTTAGTTTTTCAACAGGCTGCATAAAACACAGTGACGGTCAGTACAAACTACTAAAGTTTCATACAATGTCTTATTTATTCTGTTCTCTATATCAGTGCTTCTCAACCAGTGGTATGAATACCTTTAGGGGTACTCGAAAGAAGTCTGGGGGGTTACATCAACAACTGAAATTTTAAAAAAACTGAATTTGTTTAAGTTTTACAGCACTTTATTATTTTTGTACTTTTTACACCCAAAAATTTCACTGACTGCCCAGCTACAATTAAATTGTTTACACAAATGCGTTGCAATGGTAGAAAAAAATGTTGTGTGTCTGAAAACTGTAGGTACTGGGGATACACCCTTTTTAAAAAAAAGTACTTTAGGAAAAAAAGGTTGAGAAACTGCTCTATATTGCACATGAAACGTAAACACAGTATTTATATTCCAATTGATTTTATAATTACATAGTAAAAATGAGAAAGTCAGTAATTTTTTTCAGTAATAATGTGTGCTGTGACACTTTAATCATTTACAAAATCAGACAAAAATACAAGAGTTTGAGAGAGGTTAAATTTGGGGTATGCAACACAAAACAGACTCCAGAAAGTTGAGATACGAATAGACAATATAACTAGGTTCATTGCTATTGGAGGCCAGTGTATTACATTCTTTAGCGTCCTCACCACAGTTATTACAGCTATTTATTCCTTTTGCTTTGAAATCCTGAGAAGTCAGCCCAAGAGTAGTATAAACTTTTGTTTCATACAGTGGACAGTTTTTAAAATAATACCCTGAGTTTAAGGCCAGAACGGATCATTAGATCAGCTAGTCTGACCTCCTATATATGTTACCTGTGACAGAAAATATTTGCCAAGAATACAAAATCCTCAATCACTAGTTATCCCGTGATAAAGATAAATGATTTTGTATTTTAAAACTGGCTTGTAACATTTGAGATCTGTATTTTATGTGAAATCATTTTTATATCAGGATTCATGAGAATGCAGCATATGGATTATAAACCTATTATTGAAACACACCATCTTGCATTGCCACAGCAAACCATTACAGCTTCCAACAGTATTAAATGAATCTCTCACTTCAATTGCCTAATTCTATTTGGAACATGGGTGTCCGCTAACAGACATTATTGTATGCAATGTTGCCCATAGATGCAAGCAGGTAACCAATAAAGATACAGTGATTAGCAACCATAATGCGCTTTATAGTATGGACCAAAACATTGAGAAGTTGGGAAGCAAGGGATGGAAAACTCACTGGTGTTCCAGATTTTTCTATGTTCCCTCTGATTCAATTTAATTAAAAAAATCAAGTTTTAGCCCTTAAGATTGCAAAGACACTTCACAATGTGTTAAGTGATGCATGGTTGTCACAGTCTGCAGGAAGACAGACTGAAACATCACAAAGTGTGAACTTCCCTATTCATCTTAATGAGGTGTAAACTTTATAGCCTAATTATGACCACTTTTAAATGCAAAGACACTGTTTACCACACACAGTTCATTATCCTACCAGAAAACTGTTAACTATGTAACTGCTGATAAATGTCCCCCCACTCCCCCCCCCCAAAAAAAAAAAAAAAAAAAATCAGTCATAATGCTTACTCACAATGGCCTGATATACAAGTTTTTACAATCATTAAAATTCCACTGAAAGGTTATTATGCCACAAGAACCATTTCAAGTCTTGAACTGCAAGATACCTGAATTTATTTTTGATCACTCAATATGCCCACTACCATCTGTAAATCAGTAAAACAACCCACATTTCTACTCTACCTATTAAGGCAGTACGCATACTGAGTTATGCATAGCCTTGGGGGGTGCACAGAAGTTTTCCTGAGGTTACATTAACTCATCTAAGGCATTTGCATAGTTTTACAACAGGTTACATAAAAAGCACTAGCAAAATCCATACAAACTAAACTTTCATATAATCACTTGTTTGTACTATGCTATATTCTATACACTGATGTCTAAGTACAATATTATATTCCACATGATTTATTTTATAATTATATGGCAAAAATGAGAAGCAATTTCTCAGTAATAGTGTGCTGTGACACTTTTGTATTTTTATGTCCCGTTCTATAAGCACATTTTTAAAGCAAATTGGAACTTGAGGAAATAAAAGAAATAAGACTCCTGAAAGGGGTACAGTAGTCTAGAAAGTTTCAGTTCCACTGTGTTAAGGGATGAGATTCTGGTGTGGATTGCAGGCTAGAATGTGATTCCATTACATCTGATCCAACAGTCGTACATTTAAATACAGAATAAGAGAATCAAAGTTGGAAAGACCTTGAAGGGTCACTTAGTCCAGCATCCCCCATGCAGACACAGGAGCAAGAATCCTTGCAGGTTAGACAAACACCTGTCAGAAATGGTTAAGGACCTGTCCCAACCTGACAGATGTTTTGTCTAACCAGTTCTTAAAGACATCCATTCAACTACTGGGATTCTACCACCTCTCTTAAAAGTCTATTCCAATACTTAAATATCTAGCCTTAAAAGTATGAGCATTTTTCCTAATATATTGCTGCAAGAGAAATTTAGGCTAATTACTTGTTCAGTAGATGAGAACAATCAGTCACCACCATCTTTATAACAGTCCTGAATCTATCTGAAGACTTATGAGGTCCGTGGTCAGTCTTTCCTCAAGACTTAACATGCCCAGTTTTTTTAGTCTTTCCCCGTAAGACAGATTTTCTACATCATTTATGTTGCTCTTCTCTGGATTTTCTCCAATTTTGACACATCTTTCATAAAGTATGGTGCTCCAAATGTGACAATATCCAGCTAAGCCCTCATCTGCACTGAGTCCAGTGCTATCTCCTGAATCTTACATACATTCCCATTAATACACACACCAGCAAGGTACAAATATTTAAGACAGGTAACTGGGAATGTAAAGCTACAAAAAGAAGAAGGGCATGTCAGAGGCTGGTGTAGAACCTCCAACTTTTAACATTTAAAAAAAAAAAAACCAGGCTGGATTTCAAATCATCAGAGCTTCTTTAATGAAGTTTTGATCCTAATTTTGGAAGACAGGCTGCTTTTGAAATGTATGTGATCTGAATTTTACAGTGAATCATATCTGTATTTATAACCTTTGTTCATTACACGAGATAAAAAAATGAGAGAAAAAATTCCAAAGACAAGTTTTTGCCCAAATTAAACATTTTAAAACCATAACTACAATCCAATTTACTTTTCACGGCTTACGTTCCCCTCCATATCCATGGCATACTTTCTCCTTGAAGAATGCAAGTTCTTCCATTCAGGGACTACCAAACTTTTTGACGGGCTAGAGCACAATAAACTGACTGCCCACAAGATATGCATTCATAGAGTCTGCCCAGCTTCCCTCCCTTCAGTAATCACATACTACCACTGAGACTAAAGAAGTATTTAATACATTTCTAGCTATTTTAAAAACACAATTTACCAGGTGGAAACAAAGGGAGACAGCACTACGTGACCAACCAAGGATCACAGTTAGGAAACTACCCAGCTAATCATTTTCACTTTCTCATTCAGCTGCCCAGAACTGCAATGTTTTTCAGGGCAACCATTTCTAACTATAAACAAGGCCATTCCCATTAACACGGAGGTTACATTTTTAGAGCTTAAAAGCCTACATTTTGGTCCTAGACACTTCCCAAACCCAGTACCATAGGCCTCCCCACATTTCCTCTAAATACAAGCCTTCTGCAAACCCGTGAGATATTAAAGGTATCCCGCCACACCGCTATCTGCAGCTATTAAAAACAAACCCCCCCGAAGACACGAACAGCTCGTTTCACCGAGGGAAAATCCTGCTGTAAAAGCGCCTACCAGCTCATTTACGATTCGCCGCATCAATAAACCCTCCATCGTGTAACAACTGTTCCCAAGCCCACTCGCACCCTTCCCAGGCTCCCTCGAGGATCCGGTGCTTGCTCTGGGGCCTTGGCGCATTACGCGGAGCTGGATTGTCACGCACATTCAGGGAAGCT